TTATTAGTAGCATATATCAATTTTTTACAAAAATTTTAATATACCATATAAAACTATATAAAAATGATCTACGTGCCCCCTACCCTAAAGCAAGTCTTGTGTTTTTTGGTCACAGGATCCCGGATGGGCATGCCCATGGGCATGAGGGGCATGCCTCGACCTAATGGCATGCCCATATAGGCATGCCAAATTTTTTACCCATGCCCCGAACCCTACCTGTGGCCCAATTATTGTGATATTTTTACAAAAATTTAATATTCGGCAATACGTCATCAAACGTTTAAAAAGAACAGTCAGTTGCTGTGCCATGATCATATGAGTTTGTCGGATAAGGTTATGTAAAACTTTAATCAACGCTACATTGCATCTGTAAATAAATAAATGAAGTTATTGTATTGGCCTTTTACTTAAGGTTTTTTAAGTAGAGTAAAAAGCAAGGCTGTGGTTATACTATATAAAGGCATGTGAAACTTGCACTCGGTATCGGTCTCATCGCTTTATAATTATTTGGCCTTTGTTAACATACCGTATTTTTAATAATTAGCTACTAGCTTTTTTTTATTTATTTAAGGCTGTTAAGTAATTATTGTAAAAGCATGGTTGTGGTATGTGAAACTCGCATTCAATGTCTATTTCATTGTTCCCGTAAGTAAAAAAAAAAAAAAAATAAGATAAAATAAAATAAATTTATAAAACTATTGGCCTTTGCTAACATATATATTTTAATAACTGTTATGTTTAAAATAATATGATCTGTTTTTATTGGTTGAATTGCCAGTCCAAGATCACAATTTTTTGAAATTAATGCAAATCTAGAAAGTGCAATATTGTTCCCTCTAAAGCACAGTTCAAAGCGGGTTCAACCTTTTATTTGAAATTTTATATCAAAAAAAAGCATATGTTGGAGGAAAAAAAATAGCAATTACAAAAAATACATTTTAACGGGCAATAACTAAAAAAAAACTTCCATTAGAAAATTTCCGAGATCATATTAATGGTCTAAAATCAAGCAATTAGAATTATACAAATTTAAAAGCTTAAATAATATTTTAATTCATTTAATGAGTCCAACATTTAATTGAACGAAAATTAAAAATAATATTGACATTGCGTTTTTTTTTTCATGATTATGTAATAATCAATTTAAGCAATGTTTTTTTATTCTGATAAAACCAAGTGATATAAAGTAAGGCCTCGGTTCATTGGCATTGATTTTATTTCTCGGCTAAATTGAATTTTTTTTTCATTATAAAATTAAACTGAAAATATTTTATAGTTATTATTAAAAATTAGTATAGACGATCTAAAAATAACAAATTAGACGAAGAAAATTTTCCATCTTTCAAAACTCCTCTAGTTGCCATGTCTTTAATCTTTGTCTTCATTCTGGCCGGTGGCAAGTTACCACATTGAGCAATAATTAGAGCAATAACACCAGCAACATGAGGAGAGGCCATACTGGTTCCGGACAGACTTCTAGTTCCGTTATTAAGCCAGACAGAAGTAACATTTTGACCTTCATATTTATGTTAGGTATTTTGTTATAAGGTAATCAATTAACACGAAAATCAAAGGTTCATATATTATCGCGTAATATTATCATAATTTACCGGGAGCGAAGATGTCAACACATGCACCAACGTTTGAAAATCTAGATATTGTATCATCAATGCTTGAAGATCCTGTGGTAATCGCCTCAGGGGTTGAGGAGGGTGAGAAAAAACAAGAATTTGCGCCATAGTAATTCCCAGCTGCAACAGTTACGTGAACGCCAATATCGATTAATGCCTTGACTGCTGCGTTGGCTGGTGGAAAATATTTACCAGTCAAAGAGAGGCTGAATGGGTATAAATTAGAGAATTAATAAGCTAAATAAATTTTCAATTTAAAAGGGGAAATTTGAGTCTTATATATATCTACTTGACAACTGAATGCTTCCTTTTATTGTATTTATGCTGTTGAGCGACCCAGCTCATTCCAGCAATCACATCACTCCATGATCCGGTCCCTGTTTTCCCTAAAGCTTTGACTGCGATAACGCTCGTGGCTTTTGCCACCCCATATTTTTTCCCTAGGTAAAGAGGATGATAATGTATAGTTGTTTACGTAAAATCTCAAAAATCGGTATTCTAGCTATTTTACCTGCAATCTAGAAAAGAAAAACTTAGCAATAAAGAATAACTTTAAAAGATAAAATAAACCAATCAATACCTACAATTCCTGCAACATGAGTTCCGTGGCTTTAAAGACCAAATACGGTGCATTGACAATTAGTATACAAACTTTATATTTTAAAGCCTTTATTTGATAACATTTTAAATATACCCATATTCGTCAATGTTTGGTGTTCCTTTAATAATAGATATGCCCCAAGAAGCTCGACCTTGAAAATCTGTGTGATTTATATCTATTCCACTGCGCAAATTTTTTTTTGTTTTATAGAAATAGAAATAAAATAAATAAATAAAAATTTACGTGGCATAAGTTATATGATTGATCTTAACGTATAATGTACAAAGGATAGCTCCGTACGTATCGATTACATAAACATTCACTCTTCGACCTCCAGTAGCAGGTGAGATATATAAACTATCACGAGGCAGAAAACGTTGGTCGAGACGATCGAGATTCTGAATGCATGGATAGATAGTGGAAAGTTATAAATAAAATACATATGAATAAGAATTTATAACTTAACCTACCCATGTAGGATTTGTCTGAACTCTCATCCCAAATAATGGGTCTTTGATTTTTATTTCCTTATCATCGTCACCTAATGCTAAATACTCCTCGATTATATCATCTTCGCTAAGACCAACAAAATCACGTGTAACCCAAACCTCGGAATCTCGTGCAACATAATCAATTTCTTCTCGTTGTTTTAGAATATTTTCCACAAATTGTGGTTCAAACATAGCAGAATAAGCTCGAAAATAATCGCCAATGGCGTATTCGTGAATAATAAAATCATTGCGGCTGTTATTAGCAGTAGGCGAGGGACCATTTTCGTCAAGAGATGTCGCGACGGCTTCCTGGGAATGGAAGTCTGAAACCCAAGAAATATGATCTTGGTATATAGAATCGGTAGTCTTAGTAGTTGCAACCGTTGGCTCAATATCGTTATTTTGAAAGCTTTTAATGACCACTATGTAATGTTGTTTTCTTTCATCAGATGATTTGCTAATAGGCATAGATCCGATGACAGTTATTAGCGAAATTAAAGTGGAAAGAAGAATAACATATTTAATAAGCATGATCGTTTATCGGTACACAATTTTTATGAAACAAATATGATTAAAAAAAAGTGAACGCTAAAATTTACATTTCGAGGAGAAAAAACTATAGTGCTTAAATAATAGTTTTGAAGGCGAAAAGTGACTCATCAATATAATAGACTTATCGATGACGCGTTTAGAGAAATATAATGCCAACTGATTTCTTTGACTTTAAAAAGTATGTGAATAGATCTGATTAGCAACATCGTAGATAGAATAATTCTTTGACTCGATGATTGATCCTTACATTATCCTGTTATTTTTCCTAACATATAGCATTATTCCTAATACGTAAACACTTCTTAGCGCCGATTGTGTCGGTGATTGGTGAATTTTCTGCATAATAATAACAATCATAAAAGGTAATCTACGTCATAACTGCATAAATGCTTATATACACAGCAAAACATATACTTGTGTGTACATATTTTTCTTTCATTTCTTCGCGTCGATTGAGATTTTATATACTTCTTTATATTGAAAGGTTTGCTTTTTGATTATTAGTTCATCAATTTATTTGTAACGTTATTATTTCATTGCATCTGAATGTTTGAATATTTCTAGGTACGACTGGAAGTCACACGGTAAAGTTAAATGTGAATCAAAACATTGAAGTATATTGAAGTATTCTACATTGTAAATATATTTTTATTAGTCCAATTGTTTAGAATCGGGATCATGCCACCTCAACTACCAGCGGATTGTCTCAAAGAAATATTTGAATTATTGAATGATGATATCCGATCCTTACATTCATCCATAAATGTGAGTAAATTATGGTGCAAGATTGGTATCCAGATATTATGGAGACATCCATGGAAATTTACAGGCACACTGAATTCTAAATTCTTTTGGCCTGCTATCGTAAAAACTTTACTATCCTGCATGAAAGGCGAATCATTAATGATCTTAAAACAAATGGGCATTGATATTTCTATATCAAATAATAAGTCACCAATGTTTAATTACGCTGGATATTGTAAGTATTTGTCACCCTGGGAAATCAATAGAATGGTAATGGTGATACAAGGACGTGGTTGGTGGTTTGAGAGCAATGATATGAGTCCCGTAGAACTTATAATAGAACAAGAACTTTACAAACTATTTATGTCTCGATGCTCAACGTTGAAACATCTCATAATTCCAAAAGCTCGAATCTTGACTTATCCTGGTGCTACTATGTGCCTCTCTCAACTTTCCGTCTTGGAATGCAGCACGAGCATTCCATCAACTTTTTTTAAAGAAATGGCACAGTATTGCCATAACCTTCAAAAGTTAATTGTTGAGCCTTGTGATGAAGACGTTGAGGGATTGGCGATGCTCATCACTAAACAGACCGGTTTAAGAGAAGTTGAATTGGTTCCTACAAAACCGATACAAATCAAAACTGTGGAATGTCATCAAATTGGAAAAGCCTTGGTAACGCAAGCAGCTTCTCTGAAATCGTTATACATACAAAATTATCTTTGTTTTGCACCAGAATTACTTGCATCTTTCATAAACCTAGTAACTCTAAGAGTTAATATTTGTGTAAGATTTCACGAAGGATTATCATCTTCAATGTCGTTTCCACAACTAGAAACCCTTGAAATATTTGAAGACAAATCAACACCATTCGAATATTACACAAAAGTGATCGAGAGCACCGGTGGAAATCTTGAAAAGATATACTTTAACAACGTATCCTATGCAGATGATCAGGAATTACGGAATTATATACATGCAATTACATTTGGCTGTCAAAATATTAGATTGGTTACAATTGTCCTAAGCAACAAAATAGAAATAGATGAGTTAGAACAATTACTTGAATCATGCCAAAAAATTGAAGTTTTAAAGCTACAGGCTCGATCACTAAAAATTATTGATGGAGAACGTATACTTCAATTATTGGCGGTGAAAGCGCCGCGGAGTTTAACAACTTTGAACTTTGATTCAGAGAGACCATATGGATGTTGGCTATTTTCGTACAAGACTTTGGATGAGTTTTTGAATACTTGGAAAGTCCGGAACATGAAACCATTGTCAATATATTTTGAAATAGGATGTTATGAACCAGGATTTAACGCAAAACATTATAAGATTATTAAGAGATATCTCAACGAAGGAGTATTAAAAAAATTTTATGAGATTAATAATTTATGTGATCCTTACAAAAAATGGCAATGTTTAGGACCATGGGAATGATTAATATGACATGTAAAAGGCCTTCCATATTCTTCATTTAGCAATTGTCAACTGTATGATGCAGCAATTTTGTGTTTTCATATAAGGAATTTATGCATTAACACCAAACGAGAAATAATCTTTTTGTGTTATATGATGCGTAAACATTTGAAAACATATTTATTATTAGAGTAAAAAATGATTGTATATCTATCTATATTATGCTATTCATGATTGCCACTGTTGCCATAGTTTAAGTTTATATCAATAAATAACTTCCCAAATTAACATTTTTGGTATTGGAGTCTAGATGAAATTGGCAGATAGTGGTTAAACTGATGGAAATAACTATAAGAACAAATTAGATTTTAGTACATATAAAACTTGATAATTAAGTTTCACCTGCGACTCTATGTATTAACATATCATAGCTCCCCGTTTATAGCCTAAATTACCTTTTGTACAAATAATATTTCTTTTTATAAGCTTTCCTTTTTAAAATATCATACATATTAATGAAGTAAATACTTCAAGGGTTACCTAGAAGTATAGATTATACCATGCTGGTGTGATTTATATATATACAACACCTCGGATTGATATAGAAGTCAAATAGAGTTATTTATGTTTCGAAGCTATTAATATCTTAGATTAACAATATATAGTTGTGCGTGAAATTTGAATGGGCGTGAATTTGAAATTGGGCTGTGCTAGACCGAAATTTGATTTTGAAATGCGTCATATTAAAATCGATATAATTTGTGCTATTATTGCAGAGGTCATCTTTGCTGTATAGGTCTCTACAATTCTTCGTAATACTTGATGTCCTTGTTCGTTAAATTTTGCAATGGTTGTGAAGGTGCATAAAGAATGTGAAGAAGAATTAATCTAAATAAATATAAAAAATTAAATACATTATATATAACAATAAATTATACAGTATTATAATGAAGTTACTAAAATTGCTACCGAATTTTGCGTGTAATAACCATACTGTAATAAGAAATTTTAAGCGAACCAATTTTTATTATTATTTTATTAATATAATCATGACATTTATTATGCGTATTTCAGTAATATAAATTTTAAATGTTAGTTTTAAAGAGTTATTATACAGAACTTTTTGTTCAGTTTTCACAAAGTTTATTAAGGGTTTAGATTATTTAGCTTCGGATTAGAGAAAATGAATATATAATTATTAATAACAATTTCAAATTTTAGGCAGTTAAAGCTAATTTGACCAATTTAGATTTATGCCAAGAGCAAAATAATAAATTGTATGGGTTAAACTGAACTTTTGTTCTGTCAAAGCTTATTGACTCAAATGAAAGTTTAAATTTCGAAAAATATTTATCCCGATATAACATTATTTGTTTAAATGACAAATATTATACCAATCGCAAGGTCAATAACAATGTGTCTTTTTATTTTTTTTTATTATTTTTTTTAGCATGTTAATATGAGTAATTTAGCAACAAATATATATATATATATATATATATATCTCGAAGCTATCTAAAATTACTAAATTTGCAAATACTTGTAAAAAATTTATTGAATTAGGATGAATAATGAAATTAGGAAACCTTCTATAATAATATATAATATAGCATAGAATATCTTTGCTCATTATACAATGATTATATACAAAATATTTTACAGAATTTTCGTTAGGTAAATTATTACCATTTACCATACTTTAATTCCAATCGTTTTTTTTCTTCAGGCGGTATCCTAAGTAATGTTGTTAAAACTGGCAGCAGAGCTTTCTATAATTTCATTTAAAGGCAAAAATGAATGCATTGTATAATAATTGAGCTATCTTCAAAATAAATAAAATATCATACCCTCTGCTCTTTATGTTCCAAAAATTTAAGTATAACACCTCGTAGATAATCAACCTTAACATCATCATCCAATCCTGTATTAAGGATTGTAGGAGAATTTGATGGCACTGAATTTTTTAATGATGTAGGGGATGGAGGTTGTAAAGGAGATATTGGTACACCACGATCTGATGATTTCTGAAGTTTACGCACTTCTTCCTTGAGTGACTGAATAATTATAAATTGCAAGTAATTAAATACCACAAACAATAACCGATAAAAACGATAAACAGATATCTAGTTTTACCCTATTATTGTTTCTTAGTTGACCTTCTCGCATACGAGCTTCCTCAAGTAGTTTTTCATACTCTTCTTTACTTCTTTGAAGGTTATGTTCCAACTCCCGATACTTTACCTAAAATTTTCATACACAATGATATGTAATCAACGCTGTGACCTCCAAAACAATAACAATACGACTGGGTGAAACCTGAGCTGCCAGTTAGTAAAATCCGCGCAGCGCGGATTTAATAAAAGCTGCACCAAAACTTTGAACGAAGATATCTCGATAATCACCAAACTAAATTCGTTCAATTTATTATTATTATTATTATTATTATTATTATTTATTTATTTATTTTTGAATTCCGTGGATCCATAGAATTCAAATAAAAAAATTTTCATCGAATTTGGTCAGGTAGTTGTTGAGATATTTCGCTCAAAGCTTTAGAAAAAATCAAACCGCATATTAAATAGAAGCTGCGCCAATTTTTTTTAAAAAATTTTGAACGAAGATATTTCGATAACTTCTGACTAAATCCGATGGATTTTTTTTTTTATCATTTGAATTCTAGAAATAAATAAAAAAATTTTCACCGAATTTGGTCAGGTAATTGTTGAGATTAGAGATGCTGGTGAAATTAATTTCACCAATTTATCACTCTAATTTTATTTCACCAGCACCTTTAGTTGAGATATTTTTGCTCAAAGTTTTAGAAAAAAATCAAAACGCCTATCTGAGTAGAAGCTGCGCTAAATTTTTTTTTTTAAAAACTTTGAGCGAAGATAACTCGATAACCACTTGACCAAATTTGATGAATTTTTTTCTTTTATTTGAATTCTATAAATCTATATATGGGACCTCCCACAGCAAAAGGGTGCATTGGGCCAAAAAAATTTTTTTTTATTTTAATTGATTTCTTGAAGAATTAGACTAATAGGATTACAATTTTTATAAAATTACAAAATTAAAATTTTTGTCCCAATGCACCTTTTTGCTGTGGGGGTCCCTATATTTAAAATAGGAAAAATTCATCGAATTTAGTTAAGTGGTTATCGGGATATCTTCGGTCAAAGTTTTGGTGCAGCTTTTATTTTGACAGGGTGAAATCCGCGCTGCGCGGATTTTACTAACTGGCAGCGCGGGTTTCACCTTGCTGTATAACGATTAATTAATTAATTTAATTAATTATAACTCACGGATTTCTCATCAGCATTAGCCATTTTTGTGCTAAGTACGCGCATATTTTCGTCTAATTCTTGCACTAACTTCTTTAGAGAATCGTTTTCATCTTGGGCTAATTTCAAAAGTTCATCTTTTTCTTGATATTCAGTCATCAGCTTACTTTTCTCTTGTTCTTTTTCAGTCAATTGTTTAACCATATCTTGTATTTGAACATCGGAAGTACGTTTAATTTCTATTAATTCTAATTCTACTTTTTCTTTTTCTTGCTTATAATTTTCAGATTGCTTTTTCAAAACTTCTAATTTCTCTGTAATTCCATTTAAATCTTCTGCTTTGTTCTTTAAAGTTTCATTCTCCCGTTTCATTTCCTTAATACGTTTCTTTAATGATGTCACTTCTTCTTCTAATGCTTGTGAACGCTCTTCAGTCTCCTTTAGCTGACGTTCCTTTTCCTTGGTACCATGTTGTAGTGTTTCAAGCAATGACTGTGAAGAGTCGAATTCTGCTTGTTTCATTTGTAATTGATCAAACAACCCTTCTTTTTCTGTTGTCAATTTTTCAATTTGTACGGATTTTTGTTTCAAATTTGCGGTTGCATTTTGCTCCGAAACTCGAAGAGAATCCTTGAGTCGTTCTATTTCTTCATTCATATCCTTTTTATCTTTCTCTAGAGCCTGAATTTTTGATTGAGTTTTTTTTAGTAAAGCAATCGATTTATTACGTTTGTCTTCTTCTTCGAGTTGTTGCTTTTTTAGGCTCTCAATTTCTGAATCATATTTTGATTTAGCCTCATTTAATGATTCTTGAAGATCACGTTCACGTTGTGTCGCAGATTTCAACCTTGATTCTACATCAGATAATTTTTCAAGAGCTTGGGTTTTGGCAGAGTGAAGTAGTGCATTATCTGATTCGAGCACTTCATATTTTTTTTCAGTAGCAGCCAATTTCTCTTTCATTTCTCGAACTGCTTCTTTCTCATCATCCAATTCGGAACGGATCTCATTTGACTTTTTTTGAGCAATTTCCAAATCTTGTGTAAGATTCTCTTTTCCAGAAATTAGAACATCTCTTTCTTTAAGGAGCTCTTCAACCCTTTTTTCTAGCTCAGAATGTACATCACTTGATTTTTTCTGAACATTTTCCAGTTCCTGAATAAGTTCTTCAATCTTTTTTTCTAATTCTACGATCTTTGTACCTGCAAAAGATGATTCAGACTTTAAATTCTATATAATGGGTTTTAAAACCTCTCCTTTTAACAATCCGTTTCTAATATAGCATTAGACTTTTCTATTGTGAAAATCTTACCTGGATACTCATCAATCGTTTCAACTGCTGTTGATTCTAAACTTGGTTCTGTTGTGGCGGTGGGGTTCTCTAACGAAGTAACCTCGTCTCGACACTCGTCATTTGTTTCTTCCATTTTTGCTTTTGTGGTTTCGATGACATTTTTTGCTTTTTATAAAGTTTTTTTATTGTGATATGCAATAAAATTCGTATGTGACCAATGAGAGTATGACTTTCTCGAGGCTTATCAAGCATGTAGTACAGAGTAACTTCTTTTACACGTGTGAGTTATAGTGCAGTATATAGTGCATTTATATCAGTATATTCTAGGAATCGAAACAAGTCCGGAGCATCAGCATCACGTGAGTGGACAGACAAATTACTTTCTTGAAGTTTTTAAATATAATACAGCAAAGGCATAACTTTTGTCTCACTATGTGTACAATGATTTTGTCTAAAGATTTTTTGAAAGTGAAAAAACTTTTCATGTAACTTTCTTATCAAATTATTTGTTCAAGAAATTTTTGTATATCTATTATTAGGCCATGTAAAATTAATTAACTGGTTTTCATAACCCGGCTGTGTCAAAATTTGAAAACTTTAAAAAAAAATTTTTATATGTTTTACAGCTGTTCTCATAAATTTTGGGGAAGGATTATTTGGCCGATTCGATAAGTTTTTGATTCGGCAGTGATAAACTTTTGATTTGGTGTGATTAATAATATAGCAATAATGATATATATTCTTTGCGATTGTATCTGAACGATACTACAATGTCAACACATCTAAAATTAAGATTTCGCCTGAATGCATGTCCAGCATGTTTGGTGTGTTTATTCTGTACGAAAATTTATGACAAAAATTGGTTTGCCAACCATCAAATCTTAGCAAAAAAAAACACGAAAAGAGTTCAGAATATAAGATAAGCTTTCATAATAAATATATTACACGAAGAAGCGCTAATAAAATAATAAGTTCGATATGAACAAAAATTTATTGACTTAACTAAAGGAAGTATAATTCGAGTTATAATTCCAAACAACCAAGTTTTTTTATTAATATTTGTTAAACTGCATTGAAAATTATAATCAATAAAATTACAGCAAATCAGTAATGAATCAGATGAAAATATTGAAACGGTTGATCTAACGCTAAAAACTGAAGGAATCTTTAGTTTTGTTCGTCTATAGTAAACATTTTAAAAGTGTCTATCTTGTCTGAAGTAACTACTGTTAAATCTGAAATATCTATCTTGTTTGAGTAATAGTAGCTGAATTTAATATAATATTCAACTATCTGAAGCGTAAAAATAAAATAGTGATATCGATATACATTATCACAATTATTTAGAACATTATTCGTAATCGCTCATTACTGAAATCAAAAACTTATCGAATTGGCAAAAAATCATTCGGCCAATTTTTTACTTGATGTTCCAAAATTTATGAGAACAGCTGTAATAACCGGGTGGGTTTAAAAAAATTTTTTTATATAAATTTTATAAAATTTTATATATGAAATTTTTAAAAAAAGCCGGCTGGCCGGGTCTATTTAAAAGTTATAACAAAACATATTATATACAGTCAGGCCTCCCTAAATGCAACCTCTCTAAATGCATGTTCTATGAAAACTCTCCTTAAATGCATGCCTTTTCTTGGGCCCAACTAATATTACATCTATAGATTTTTACCTCTCTAAATGCAATATCTCTCTAAATACACATTTGGTTTAATTTTTACATATGGTCCTATTGCAATGCATTTAGAGAGATTTAACTGTATATAAACTACTCTAGTTTAAAACTAAAGTAGTTTTATTAACAAATCTAATTATAGATATTAAAAAAAATATTTTTAATTTATAAATTTTATATATAATATATAGTAATATACAATATACTGTATATAGTATATAGTTAAACCTCTCTATAGTCACCTCTTATATAAGTATATTTTCTTTATAATTGCATTTTTTTTAAAAACAAACTATTATTAAACATAATAAATTTAACCTTTATACTGTAATTATTATAATTCTTTATAATCATACTTTTTTGTATTTCAAGTAAGTAATTATAGAGAGGTTTGACTATATTTAAATTTAGTAAAATAAAATTTTAATTTATATAGTTTATGTAGCCTAGAATCAACATTATATAATCTTTATAACTATATAAAAATAATTACAGTTAGACTTTCTAAATATACTAGCTCTAGAGTGTGTGTTTAAAGAGAGTTGCAATTAGAAAATATTAATAGATAGGATTTAGGTCTTTGTACTACCAGTAGTATATTTATTAAAGAATCTAAAAAATCTAAAAAATTATTTTTTAAAAAACTTTTTATATCAAAAAATCTGATAAATGCTATAGTATTACAAAAATTAATTTATTTTAATATTATTAATAAGATTGTTGAGAAATAATTTTTTTTAAAAATTGCAATTTTGGCAAATTTGCTATACTACATATAGTACACTATTAAAAATAATTCTAATAATAAATTTATTAATAAACTTTATAAACTAAAATTTTAATTATATAAAAAATATTTAAAATTTGTTATATTTAAATTTTTATTATAAAGGCATACAACGGCCTACTTATAACCAAGGGGAGTATCAGATAAAGGTATGAAATCCTTAGAAAGTTAAGGATTCCAAGGGAGGTAAACGGTTGTTATGGCAAGTTGCACTGGGTAATCAGCCTAGTGAGTCTTTATTAAATTAGAATAATAAGTTGTAGAAATTTAGTATTTTTGTACATAAATTATATAATAGTTCACATAAATAAAGGCAGGATCGCTTAAAAAAAATAAATAAATAAATAAATTTTTATTATAAGTTTTATTATAAAAACTATTACTTTTACTACTATATAAAGGTTTGTAAGCTATTAGTTAAAAATCATTACTATTTTTAGTATTTTATATAAACTCTTTAGTTTTTAACTATAATTTTAAAAAAATTTTATTAAATAAATTTTATCTAAATTTATAAAAAATTATTAAAAACAAACTTCTAATTTTAAATTTATAAAAAATTATTAAAAACAAACTTCTAATTTTAAATTTATAAAATTTATTAAAATTAAGTTAATATATTAAAAATAATATAAAATCAAAATTTTAAAAAATTAAATCTAGTTTTTAATATAAAATTTTTAAAATTTACTAGTAAAATTTACTAATAAAAACTGTAAAAAAATCAATTTTTAAAAAATTTTAAAAAATTCAAAAAAATATTTAAAGCTACCAAATTTAAAATATATATTGCTCTATATATAAAGTACCTTATACAAATATATATATATTTAATAGTTTATTAATATGCTATTTTGGTAAATAATTGGCTTTAAAACTGTTACAATATAGTAGATAATACTTGAAAATTATTGACTGCATAAAAAAAATAAATCGAATTTTTATTTATTTGACAATACCATTTATATATTAACAAGTAAATAAATTTATTTCTATGTCAAGAATAATTTTCTTTCTGTTTACTACTGTATGTTTAAAACACATGATCTGGGTTTCATAAATTATCACGTGCCTCGAACTGTCCCTAAGAACTGTCCGTAGATCCTCCGCCATGAACACGTGCCGTGTTACACGAAATTTAAAGTCACGTGATTTGCATAACCTACACTTTATATTTGGTAATAATTAAATTATTGTACTGTATTTAGAAGTTTTAAAATTTTTAATTTTTAAGTTTTTCAAATTTTAAAATATTCGATTTTTCCGACTTAGTCGATTTTATGTTAGATTATATTAAAGTACCAATCAGATTCGATACATTATCTCTCTTACTAACACTATGTTTATAACAGCAAATTAATA